GCACCATCAGCTCAGGGTCCAGGGCATCCTCTAGGAGCCCGTCTGTGAGCTGGGCCTGGATACCAGCCGTCCCAAGCTGCTTTGCAAAAATGTGAGAACAAGGGTTTGTGTTCACACGCACCAAGTCTAGGGTGTTTGTTACACGGAGGTAACTGAATGGTACAAAGATCTACTATGGGCCTTGGGGTTCAGTGGGAAGCCAGCTGTCTGGTGAGAGGAGACTGAATCAAATCAGACACGATTGGCCACTGTGACAAGCACAGAGGTGGGAATCCAGGCAGGAAAGGTGGGAGCCTGGGAGGAGGGGAGATCTTGGCAGGAAGTGCTGGGGACCACAGTCAGGGCAGGGGGAGCCCAGAAGTTTGAGGAGAGGAAGGGCAAGGGATGGAGGAGGGGGTGCTATGTGGGGCTGGGGACTTGAACTCACTGTGTGGCCAGGCTGGCCTCGGATTCACAGCAATCCTCCTGCCTCAGCCTCCCAAGTGCTAGGATTATAGGTGTGCACCACCACATTCAGCAATCTGTCTTCTTTGGCTTGTGGATGTGTTGCTTCACTCTCCACCTCTCTCTCCACTGCATGGTCTCCGTGTCCATGTCCAAACCTCCTCCCTCATACAGCGACACTTGCCCTTGGATCAGGTCCCACCCTAACCTGGTATGACCTCATCTTAACTTCATGTCTACAAAGACCCTATTTCCAAGGAATATCATGGCCATGGCTGTGGGGGGACAGGAAGTTTGGGGGCCACCGATCAACCCACACCACGTATGGCAGTGGTTGGAGTCACTTAAGGGGTAAAGCGAACAGAACCCATTTGAGGGCTCAGGGCGTCCTGCCGCACCCCAGCCTGGCCCAGGGCTGCTCCCCAGCAGTGGCTGCCCGTTTCCCGGTCGTGTGGTCGGGCTCGTCACAGACTCTCCCAGGCTCTGTTCGGCTATTGCTCCTCCCGAGTCTGAAAGGCGGCGGTTAGCCTTTTCAGCGTTGTTTGATTCTCCGGGTGCCCTGGGCTCAGGGCCTGTCCAATTCCAGTCAACACAGCTGGTAACCCTGGGTTCAAAGCCTGCCTCTGCCACTTATGGGGTGATTGGGAAATCTCCTTAACCATCTCCTTAATCAGTTTGCCTCTCGGCTTCCACAGCACAGCATTGCCAGAACCCTGGCACCTACCCCCAGGAGGCTCCTGTGGGATTGTACTCATGAAGCACAGAGCCTGGGCCTGGTGCATGGTCAGTATTGAATAACTGCGGCTTAAAAAACCCTTACATTCGTCCTTTGGGTTTGGACACTTTAACACATTCCCACATATGAATTACAGCCCCACCGTGAATGTGTTAATTTGGTTTGAGACAGGATTTTGATATGTAGTTCAGGCTGGCCTCGATCCTCCTGCCTTAGCCTCCTGAGTTCCTGGATGACAGGCCTGTGCCACCATGCCTGGGTGGACACTTTAACTCTTCTTTCACCCTGATTTCTGCCCAAGGGCAAGATCCAGGACTTCCCATGGAGGAAAAGGCCTCCCACTTCCCCTGGCTGGTACCTTCAACTCCCCAACAGAATATTCTAGGCTCTGTGAAGCAGGGCAGAGAGAACGGTGCTGCATGCTCTCAGAATTATTTTCACAGGTGAGGTAGAACGGGAGCCCATTTAGCTCCTTCTCCAGGCTGTTTGCACCTCCATCCTTGTGGGGTCCATGTGCACAGGCTTCCCCGCAGGGAGCAGAGTGCACAGCTCTGAATACATGGAAGGAACAAGCCAAGGGGCACCCTGGCCAAGGGCAAGACCACCCCGAGCCAGGCCTGGAGCAGAGGGCAGCCACCAAACACAGCATGCCCTGCAGTGGGGACTGAGCCTGGAAATAAGCCCTTGTCCCTTGGAGGTGTCTCTCATCGAGACAGCTGGGGGCCCTTTCTCACCTCTACGTATAGTCTTGAAGTTTGAACTGAAGCCACTGAGTACAAGTATTCTTCCCCTCCCCCAAGTGAAAGAAAAATGGACCAAATATGTCTGAAATGATTCTTTATTCTATCGCTCCCTGAAGCAAATCCATTTATATTTTACCATCAGTTTCTTCCACTTAAATGGAAATTCTCTAAGACCAGGACTCTGGTCTCTTTTGCTTATCTCCCTTGATATGCAGATAGAACACTTATCGTTAGGCTCCTCACTATTTAATTAAAAAGTTAAACTGGGTATGGTGGTGTATGCCTGTAATCCACACCAGCCTCTTAGTATTTGGGAGGCTGAGGCAGGAGGATTTCTGTGAGTCTGAGGCCAGCCTGAGCTACATGGTGAGACCTTGTCTCAAATAAAAAGTTAATTATCAAGTGAGCAAATGAATAAGTACTTGAAGGAGGTTTTCACTTCTACTCTTTATCATAGTATTCAAAATGTGATCCAGGGCAGAAAAAGCCTGAAAGACCCATGACCCTGTCTGGTGGAGAGCTTAGGTAGGTACCAGTCTCACAGTCTGCTCACTGTTGTATCACAGAAGTGTTTTAAAGAACTGTGCAATAATGATTGTCATCAGAATGAAGACTTATTCGTTCCTTCTCAAAGTCACAGCAACTTGGTTATCGCCCAGGGTCTCATGTAGATACTGAAATTTCTCCGAAGCCCTGTCTTTTCCTCATCTACCATTAACAATGCCTGATAGAGCTGTACTGCAAGCTCATACTTGGCCAACAGGTGTCGCTGTCTAATAATACGTGATCCCCTGGGAAAACTGCTGCCAAAGGTGCAAGCTATGAAATGAACAAGTGAATCCAATGAATCGTGAGTGTTGTAAGATCCAAATCTCTAAGAACTGCTCTGCTTCCGTTTTACACGGCCAACCGCCTATGTTCTCCCAAGGATACATAGCAGGGCTATATTTTATTAATATGCTCAGCTCCCTGTGCCTATGGATCTAGACCCATGCTTTCCTAGGACACTATTATCTCAGAACTCATCAGACCCCTTTAATGTCATTCTAACTCAGTTCCCTTCACGTGTGATACTCAGTCAATGTTTGTTGAATGACTGCAACCTCCTCTCTCAGTCCTGGGAACTATATAGGACAAGCTCACAGATACAGAAAGGGATTCTCTGCAGCATATCTTGTTCAAGGTCACACGGCTGGTGCGTACGTAACAGCTGAGGTTTGCATGAGGCTTGTGGCTTTCCAAAGCCTTTACTCATACCCTGCAGAACTCAGAAAACAAGGGAGCTGATAACCTCGAGAGGCAGCAGGAATGTGCTCTAAGGGCCCCAATGGTGTCTAAGACATGACCCAGCCACCATGAGGAAAAGAAATTTCACAGCAGCTCATTTCCTAACAATGTATCCTTATCATTTTACTGAGTCAGATTAAAGAATTAAGCAAGTTGCATCAATTACAGCACTAATGCAGGTGACGAAATACATGGGGAGGGACTGGGAGGCTGGGGCTCCCTACTGTCAGCCCAAGCCCCTCCCTACTCACCCCAGTGGTACAGACCCTTGGGTCAGTGAGTCAGGCTTCAACACAGGGCCGGCGTCTATCAGCTGATGTTACAGTATTGCAAGTTTGTACAAATTTGTATCTTAGGAAAAAAACCAATAGTATCAGTCACATCTATGATTTAAGGACCTTTTACACACAATCTTCCCTGCCGATTGCTCAGCCCAGCTCTGAGCCACCATGTCACTGCTGGCCCAAATACCCAGGTCCTGAGGACAGGAATGTGGGTCCCCAGGGGGTCCTCTGGGACATGGAGGTCAGCGGATCTAACGACCTAGCAGAGCTACCTGAAGGGGGTGGGATGTAGTCTTTAAATCGGAAACTGTGTGTTTCAGGGGCCATCGTGTTGCAGGTCTCAGTCCCAAGTGCCCCTGCCTCTAATCTCATGGCCTGCGCCCCAGCCTGCCCTGGAAGGTTTCCCTCAGTCTGAGGGGTGCTGCAGCCCCAGCCCCACATAGTGATGAAGCCGTTGAGGGACACAGGCTTCCTGCACAGCATACTGGACTAGGCGGCTCTTCCAGGGACACCCGATGAGGGCAGCTGTGACCCCCCAACATCACAAAGTTCTCAATCTGCCAAGGGTTAAGTCAGCAGCGCAGCGCCTCCCTCTTTTTCCCCTGGGTACTGAGCGTCTAACCTAGGGGCGCTCTACCACTGAGCTGCAACCCCAGCCCTTTTTACTCTTTATTTTGAGGCCCGCGTCCCCAGTGCTCTTAACTGGAAGCACCCCTGGGTTGCTGACGACCACTGCCCACCTTACGGGTCTGGCAACTTGAACTCATAGAGTCCCAGGGAAAGCCCAGACGGCCCACTCGGGCCCACCCTGACCACGCACGGCGTGGGTGGGCAATGTACGAGTTTGCTCTAACAGAGTAATTTCTTCAAAATCTTGCCGGTCCAAGGACTGCTGTGGAGCGGACAGCGGAAGGTGAGCAGCCGCCGGCTGCGACGTGCAACCGACCTCCCGGGCAAGCGCTCATTCATTCACTCAGGAAACGTTGGGGCGCTAAAGCCTGGGCCTGCTGATGCCCAGGCGCCCAGGCCCTCGGGGTCTCGAACTCCTAAGACTTCGGAACAGCAGTGGAGACCGAAGCAGCACGGCGGGGTGAACGCTGAGGCCTTGCTCCCGAGGTTACCGAAACCCCTCCCCTCCCCGACCCCCATCCGCAGGCTGGCGCCGCCGCAGCCCTGGCAACCCGAGCCTTCCTCGGGCCTTTCCCAAACTCGCCTCCAGGGGACCGCAGCGGGCAGCGCCCAGGCCGCGGCTCGGATGCCGGGGCGAAAAGGGGACAGCGGGATCGGAGGGGGCGTGAGAGGGGCCGGGAAGCCGTGACCCCACCGCCGCCGCCGCCGCCCGTCCGAGGCCGGGGGCGTGGTCTGCAGGGTGCGGGCGTGGCCTGGGGGCGTGGTGTGCAGGACGGGCGGGGGGAGGGGCGGGGTCGAGGGCGGGGCGGGGCAGGAAGGCCCCGCCCACACGCTTCGCTCTCCTTTTTCCACTTTAAAGAGGCTCGCCGCGTTCGCCGCTCGGCACGGAGTCGCGCTCGCAGCCGCGCTCGCGGAGGATCAAGGCTTCAGGCGCTGGCGCCGGGGCCGCGGAGGAGGCGACTTCGCTGCCTGCCTGCGGCGGGCCCGACCGGGCGCCCGGAGAGCGGCGCCCCGAGGCCCCGGTGGGTGGTGCGCGCGGCGGGCGTGGGACGCGGGTGGGGCCGGTGCCGCCCTGCGCTTGGGCAGCGACTCCGGGGCCACCTGCAGGGCGGCGCTGGGCAGGGGTCCCGGCCGCCGGGAATCGGCGCGCTCGCCTGCGCCTGGGGCGCAGGCCCGGAGGGACGTGGGGCGCATGCCGAGTTTGGGGGCCCGGCGCCCCAGGCCGCGTCCCCGCGCCCGCGCACGGAACCCGCCCGGTCCCCGGCGCCCGGTAGGCGACTCTGCCCGGCGGAGTTAGTTTCGCTTCTCCCTCCACTCGGCGCCGGGTCTGCGGCGCGGCTCGCCTGGCCCCGGGCGCCACCCTGGGCGCCACCGGCCGCCGACCGGAGCCTCCACTGCTCCTGGGGCCAGGAGCGAGAGCGCAGGGTTGTCGGGAAATCGATAAAGCGGCGCGCCGGGGCTCCTACAGCCTGCGGGGGGGCGGGACGGCTCCCCGCACCTGTGGGCGTGCGGCCCGGCCATGGCCCCGCGCGAGCCCCCGCGGTGGGCACCGGAGGGCGGCGGCGGCGGCGCGGCGGCGCCGGCGCCGGGAAGCTGTGGTTCCGCGCGTGTTCCCGAGCGTGCCTGCCCGTGCCTCTGTGCCCTTTCGTGGAGGTGTGCGCTCTGAGAGGGTGTGTGTCCGGCACCAACACGTGTGTGCCAGTGCGTTTCGGCCTTACGAGCTTGTCTGCGTGTCGCTGTCGTGTGTGTGCCCCAGTGTGGTTGTGTCTGAGTGTGTCTTGGGCGAGGGACTGCGTCCCCCATCTGTGGTAACCGGGCAGGGGCTACTGCCCAGCGGGACCCCCCTTGCTGGCTCTCCGGAGTGGGCCGGGTGGAAGTCCAGTGGGCACCCGGCCGGGGAGGCCCCCGCTGGTGCCCGGCTCTTTCCCTGCTCCTCTGTCTTTTTCTCTGAAAATGCACTGCACGGTTTGGTGATGACTTGGCAGGGGCTGCTTCCTGAGTGAGTAATATTTAATTAAATACTCCAGCCAGTAGCATCAGCCTGGTCATGAGTTGAGTTTTAACAGGTGTTCATGGCAAAAGCGCCATCCCCTGTGACTAAGGTTTGGTGTCCTTGGAAGAGTTTTCTGTCCGGGGGCAGCACGTGGGGGTGATTTCATCCCTGGCTGTTGGGTGAGGGGTGCACAGAAGGATGTGGGACTGCAGTTCCTGTCCCTGCCCCTCGAGGAGGTGGAAGGTGCCAGGTTAAGCATGGGGGCGCCGCCGTCAGGAATGGCGGAGTGAGCCTACACAGGGCATCTAGCCAAGCCCACCCTGGCCTTCCCGGGGGCCCCAGCGAGGATGGCTGCCTTACCCAAGCTGCACAGCCAAGGCTGGGCACCAAGACCAAGAGCCAGCTGTTGCTGTTGGTCCCTGTCCCCAGCACTGAGGTCATGGGCCAGGCAGCTGCAAAGTGATGGATTAGATCATTTGAAGTGTTCCTCCTCTTTCTCCTCTTTCTGCAAGGAAAACTTTATCCAGCAGATGGAGTGAGTGAGTGTGTGTGTGTGTGTGTGTGTGTGTGTGTGTGTGTGCATATGTGTGTGCCTCTGTGAACTGGAAAGCGTGGAGTTGCCAACTGCAGTACCTTTACAAGTCTTCTTTTTTGTACCCAGCCTGGCGGCCACCCTAGAAACAAAGCCACCCAAAGCAGTAGCCACCTGCCGAGCAGGGACGAGCCCGGTGCAGGCTTCAGGGAGGTTGGGTGCTGTGCACAGTGGATGGGTTTCGGGGTCTTAGGAAGGCATAGGCCTGCCTGGGGCTCCAGGTGATGTCATTTTGGAGTGAGGGAGATGTGTTTCTTGGGCTGCTGCAGCCAGGTGGGTCCACTCTCCCTTGGGTTCCTTGGAGATTCCGTGTGAAACCCGCCTCTGTGGAGCCCGCATGGATGGTGGAGGCCAGCAGCTCTCTGAGGACCGTGCCTGCCCCACGCCTGCCCCCTTCCTGCATCCACTGCCTCCTCCAGGGTGAAGGATGCTGGGCTGCAGATGTGATTCACATTTAGCAAAGCCTTGGATTCTCATAGTGTTCATGAGCGGAGTTCGGGAATTTTGTACCGGTTCTTCTCAAGAAGTAAGACTTGGTTGGTGTGTGTGAATGGATTTATATTTTTGTTCTAAAAGGTTTTATTAGAAACCAGGCGTGGTGGTGGCCAGCAAGCCTGTAATCCCTGTACTCGGGAGGCTGAGGCATCACCATGAGTTCAAGCCCAGATTGGACTGCATAGCAAGACCTTGTGTCGCAAAACAAATGAAAAATACCACCAAAAAGCCCCAAAAGTTTTATTAGATGGCGGTACAAGGGCAGATACAGGTTGCCTCAGTTTTCCTAGGGGTGCATGGGGCTTTTGTTCCCCTAAAGCCCGATGGATTGAACCCAGACTTCCAGGGACTTCCATTTGGGGTTCTCAATGCAGTGCTCCCCTGTTCCCTAGTTACCTGATCACAACATCCCTCCCAGTCCAAGAGTTCAAATTCTGCCCACAGCCAGGTGCCAGGCACTGTGCTGCTATGGGCTGTGATGCCAGCCCTCATCAGCATAAGCGTGGAAAACAGTGTCAGAGGCAGGTGCCAGGCCCAGGCTCCTGTCTGAGTCTTGGGCATGAACTCATATATGGACCCGGGATGTGAGTCCTCTCTCTGTCTGCCTCTTTCCAAGCAGACAAGTGACTTGGCCAAGGCCTCGGGGCTCCTGAATGCTGGAGCCACACTCGAATCCAGTACCTCGGACCCTTTGTACTGCCTTTGTCTTTCCTTCAGGAAGTTGTGTTAATTTTTTTGAACCGGGAATCGTACTCAGGACCTTGTGCTTGCGAGGCCGGTGGTGGCACCACTGAGCTAAACCCCCAGTGCTGTGTTTTTTTTAACAAATTTTTTTTTACTATGAAAAATTTCAAGGAAGGGAGGCAATAATGAGTCTTCAGTTTCCCTCACCAGGGTGGACATATGCATACACAGGCACACACATATACATACATGCTCATGCTGGGTTTTCTTGCAGCCAGTGCACAGTGTCAGGTCATCTGTAGCTACTTCCTCAGCAGCCCTGAAGGGGAAAATTGAGTCGAAAGGTCAGGGTCAGCTTGGCCTTTCTGCCTCAGAGGCAGGGTGGACAGAGTGGGGACTGTGCACTCCAGTGGCTTAGAGGGCCACCCTCTGGGCCTTTGGGTAGCTTCTTGCTTGTTTTGTGTTGTAAAAGTTCAGCTTATTGCCAGGCCTGGTGGTGCAGGCCTGTAATCTCAGTACTTAGGAGGCTGAGGCAGGAGGATCACCATGAGTTCAAGGCCAACCTGGGCTACATAGTAAGACCCTGTTTCAAAAAAACAAAAGAAAAAAAGTTCTGCATATTGCCCAATCTTAAAAATAATGAGTCGAACAGCCAGGAGGCAAACCACATCAGCAGCAGCCTTAGGCTCTGCAAGCTTCCCGAAGAGTCGGCTTACAGTCACTCAGAAAAACTGAGCCGGAGTCATTGGATCTTGGGGTGATGGAGGCCAAGTGGTGTTCCTCACCCGCCAGAGGCGAGGTGGGCGTAAGCAGCAATTACTGTAATGGACAGCAGCGGCAAAGCAGCAATCAGCACAGTCTTGACTCGAGCAGACCTGTGGCGGTGGCAAGTTAATCATGGTGCTCTGAGAAGGGAGATGGAAGCCTGCTATGTTCTTCCTCGATCTGTGTAAGCAGAAAAACTCCAGGGCGAGTGAACTAAAGTCGAACTCAAATCACAGAGCACAGAGCCATCCACTGAGCCAGGCTGCAGACCCTGCATTCCTGAGCAAGAGAAGACTGGCTTCCCTGGAGTTAGGAGCCCAGTGCACCCACAAAGATGTATGCTGGTACCCCAGCCTTCCCCCAAGGGACTTATGTCCTTTTATCAGGGACACTGTGCACTGGAGAAAAGGAAATAATCCTCGTGAGACTCCCGGATGCCAGCTGTCACTCTGGCTGCCAGTTAGAGAGGGACTCATTAAAGCAGGTCAGGTGATTGGTGGAATTTTAGCTCAGGTCCAACACACAGTGAGTCTGACGGCTCCCCAAACATATCCTGTGCTTATTTTTCCGGCTTCACAATGCATAATTGGAACAGATGTGCTTAGCAGCTGGCAGAATCCTCACAGTGCTTCCTTAACTTGTGGGGCGAGGCCTACCATGGTGCAAGGGTCACATGTGAGGCGCTAGAGCTGCTTCCACCTAGGGAGATGTAAATCAGAAGCTGCGTGGCACCCTGGAGGGACTGCAGAGATCAGCGAAACCATCAAGGACTTGGAAGATGCCTGGTGTGCAGTTTCTACACATCTCCATTCAACTCTCATTTGGCCCGTGCGGAAAGCCCGATGAACCCTGGAGAGTGACACTGCTTGGTGACTCCAGTTGCAGCTGCTGAACCAGATGTGGCTTCCTTGCTTGAGTAAACGAATGTGTCTCCTGGTACCTGGTGTGCAGTTACTGATCTGGCGAATGCTCTTGTCTAATTCCTGTCCACCATGCTGACCAGAAGCAGTGTGCTTACAGCGATACACCTGTGCTGTCCTGGCTGGGGTGGACATCAGCTCTGCTGTCTCACAGTTCAGCCTTCAGGGATCCTGATGGCTCCCCCTTCTGTAGATCACACTGGCCCATTACACATTGTGCTGATCGGACCTAGTGAGGAAGAAATAGCTCCTACTCTGGACTCACTGATACAGCATTTGTGGGAAATAAATCATATTGAAATTGGACCTTTTACCCCCTTCCCAGAGGTCTAGTGGTATGGGATGTCAAGAAACCTCTGGTGAAGGGTCATTGACCAACCAAGAAAGAGGCACAAGACTAGTGGATCCATTTGCATTTTGGCAGCAACACACCCTCCTTTGGGTATATTGCTATGGTTCATCTTGTAAGGGTCCCCAAAAGTGGCTGGTTTCAAGTGGGGCCCAGGATGGGAGCAGGCTCTGCATCAGATCTGGGCTAAATGCAAGCTGCTCTGCCACTCAGGCCACATGATC